GCGGGACGGAGGCAGGAAGCCTGCGGCGCTGTGCCAGCCAGGGTCCCTCAGCAGCCCCATGAGCTGGCACGGCTGCCACGCTCGTACGGTGTCCTTTGAAGGCTGTCACCTCAGTGAGGGCAGGGCCCCTCCTCGGTGACACGCAAGTCAGCCTTTCTCCTCCCCAGAGGAGCCTTGCCTTGCCACCTCCCTCTGGTCCCAGGGATCTGTTGTTGCCCTGTCAGGGCCTGGTGAGTCAGTCGGCCCCAGCCCATAACGACCCTGTGGCTGCAGCAAAGAAGTAGGCACAGCCCGGCCCTGCCCATTCTCACAGGTGTTCCCGTCAGAACAGACGGCCGTGGAACATTCCGTGGAGCATCAGTTGGAACCGTGATGACCGTTTATCTCAGAGGGACCTCACGTCAACCAACAACACTTTCAAAGACCCCCTTTTCCAAACCAGGTTATCCTCGTAGGTCAGGGGCTGGGACATCCCCTACCTATCTCAGAGATTCTCAACCTTCCTCGTGCCGCGACCCTTTCATCCAGTTCCACATGTGGTGGTGACCCCCAACCATAACATTATTTTCTTTGCTACTTCATCATTGTAAGTTTGCTACTTTTATGAATCGCAATGTACATATCTGCTATGCAGGGTGTGTTTTCATTGTTACAAATTGAACATAAAGCATAGTGATTCATCACAAAACCATATGTGATTATATATTGTGAAATACTTATTTGTAATGACAAATAAATGACATTTTGTCTTGAAGCAGGGTGTAGCATGGGTAACAATCTTCACGCCGCCGGATACTCCGTAGGTGGGTGTGCATGTGGGTGGACCCGCTTGGAGACAGGCAGAGGAGCGGTGTCTCAGTTCCTAAGACCATCAGAAATAGGGGTTTTCCAATGGTCTTAGGCGACCCCTGTGAAAGGGTTGTTTGACCCCCAGGTTGAGAACCCTTGCCCTATCTGGTTGGAAGACACTATTCAGCCCGCCCCTCTCACCAAGGGCATCCTGGCTTGGACAGAGCCTGTCTCACGTCACCCAGGCTGGGCTCCTCCAGTTCCAGATGTGAACAGAGGCCATCACGCCACCTGAGGTTACCTCGCTGCACCTGCACACAGGGGGCTCATTCACAGCTGACAAGGTTGCCCATCCCCGTGAAAATGTCAGTCCCTGTGTGCTGGGTGAGACTTTGCTTTAGGGCCATTGTTGTCATGATGATTGGCTACCCCTGAGGGCCACGGGACGTGTGTGTGTGTCTGTGTGTCTGTGTGTCAGGAGATAAGGAGCAGATGTCCCACTTTGCTGTGTCCTGGCTCGGGGAGAGGACCACAGAGAGGCATGGTTTCCCACTCCCCAGATGCCATAGGCAGGGTTTTGAGCCATGGGACTGTTTCTAAATCTCCTAAGCTCTCACGGCTACACCGTGTCCCTCTGCTGAACACGCGGGTCACTTCTCGGTGCTCGGCCTCCTGTGCTATTTGCTCAGTGGAGTCTGTGTGCAAAGGCCCTAAGCCGCCAATTGGCGTGACCTGGTTGGGCGGGGCCTCTGGTGGACTTTGAGCTGTCGTGAGGCTGCCCACCCTGGTGTGTGTGTGAGCTTGAGGCAGCGCTCACAGCCGGGGCGCCAGGTTCAGCTCTGCTGCTGACTCTCTGTGTGGCCGCTCGGAGTCAACTCTCATCTGTGCCATCTCCCTGCAGGTCGTCCACCCGGCCGGAGGTGGCCAGCATCGAGCCGCTGGGCCTGGGTGAACAGCAGTGCTCCCAGAAGGCCGTGGTGCAGGCCCGCCTGTCCCAACCCACCCGCCTGACCAGCATCATCTTCGCCGAGGACATCAGTAAGAGCTCCAGGGACTGGGGTGCCCCCGGGGTTGGGGGAGAGGGATGCATCTGCTCAGCCCACTGAGTGGCCGTACTGTCACTGGGTTAGAAAACGCTGGTTGCTCCCCACCCCAGCCTAGCGGCCGGCACTGAGCTGACAGCACCCAGGCCAATCTCTGATGGCCTGCACACTGTCCCTGTTCTCACTCACGGCCGCTGGCCTTCTCTTTCCAAATTACTGTTTGTTACTTAAATAACTCTGAACGGGTATCAAGTTAAGTGTAAAACACATATAATCCAAAAACATCCTTCTTTTTATTTCCCCAAATTTAAAGTATTGTTGTAGAATACCTAGGAGATAATTGAGGTAGGTTCCTATCATGCAAGTTTTCCCCTACGTAAAATGAGGCCAAACACTTTCCATCTGATTATAAAATCCTTGAAAATAACTATCTACATATTACTAACACTAGCACTCTCCTTGTATGAGACATTTAGGTTGATTTTTGAAGCCCGCTTTTAGCGTTCTACACCACAATTTACTTGCAGGCAACAGTTTGGGATTCTATTAGGTCATTTCCTTAAGATAGAGTCCTGGATGGGCAGGGTCACAACACAGGAGCATTTCCAGGGCTTTGGGTAAAAAGGGCTGTATTGCTTTCCAGCAAAATACCGTTACCACTTTGACCAACAATGCACAGATATTGTTTATTTGGTGTCTAGAGAATGATGCTCAGAGTGGTTTCGTAGCTGCTGCTGTTGGCCTGAAGGAGCCCACGTGGCATAGTGACTCCTGCATTGGGCTGCGCACAGCAAGGCCAGCAGTTCAGAACCACTCGTCACTCCATGGGAGAAAGACGAGGCTTTCCACGCCCATAAAGATTTACAGTCTCAGAATCCCACAGGTGCATTTCTACTCTGTCCTACGGGGTTGCTCTGAGTTGGAGTACACTCGATGTCTGAGGTTTTGGTTTTTGTCTGTTGTCCTTATAGAAGACTGGGAAGTGCTGGGGGTGTCATTTACGTATCTTCCTTAGGGGGCGAGTGCAGAGTCTGTGCACACAGGCACGCACACACACACACACACACCCTTTCTTCCTGAGTAAGGGTGTTAGTCTATGCAAGCAGAATTTCCTAATTTCAGTGTCGGCGGGACGTGGCCTGCCTTCCTTTGGATACCGTCGCCCCTGGCTTTTACTTGATTGGTTCCACCCTGAGCGAAGTGGAACTTTGCGGAAGCAGATTTTTGCCCACTGTTTTAATTACTAGCTGTCAGGGGGGAGAGGCTCGGAGTGTGCCAAGAAGAAGCCCGTGAGAGTCAGCTGCCGGGCTCTTCGGAGCTGAACTGGCGTTCTACTTAAGCCCTGTTCCTCTGGTGCTCTGTGGTGGACCAGTATGTTAAGAGGACCTGAAAGTGTGTGTGTGTGGGTGGTGTTCCTTGTTGCTGACACCTCTTTCCTGTCGTCCTCACCTCCCCAGCCACCGGGCAGGTCCTGCGCTGCGATGCTATCGTCGACCTCATCCATGGCATCCGGGTCGTCTCCACCACCCGGGAGCTCTACCTCGAAGACTCCCCGCTGGAGCTGAAGATCCAGGCTCTGGACTCAGAAGGTGAGGCCGCTCCCGCCATTGCCTGCTGCCCGTGACCCATGCTGGGCATCAGCCTTGCAGCCTCTGCCAACCCCTCCTGCCATGGTCGGCCCTGCTGCTCCCTCGGGAGCTGACACTGCTGCCTCCTTCCGGGCGGTGCCCCCCTCTTCTTTCAGTGCCACACCGAGTCCCTTAAGCATCCTGAGCACAAGGGCACATGCCGCGGGAAGGCCCTGGCCTTCAGCCAACCCCCTTTCCACAGCTTGTCTTAGGGTTCCAACACTTTTCCCACTCTTAGCCCATGGACTTCCAGAGCTCACTGTGGTAGTGACGCCATCTTCTATCAACTTGGGGTATTAAGAACGAAGGGGTGGAGTTTAGCCTGTCAATCAGGTCACAGCTTGATGACCTCACTTGGAAGCGGGTGGGTAAAGAGTTCGCTGGAGGCCGGGCCCACTCTCTGGCTGCTTCACCTTCCTGTTGAGGACCCACACTCAGAGAGGTGGAGGAGTCAGCGCTGAGGTGCTTCCACTGCATTGCACCCACAACACCCCCGGCCTGTGGTCTTCCTGCATGCTGCATCATTGCTCGTGCTGCATGAGTCTGAAGCAGAATGTAAGGACTACTGCAGGACGTAAGGGCTACTAGCTGATTTATGGACTTGATCTGGACTGGTACGGAATGTGTTCTCATTAAACAATTGCTCTTTGATATAAAGTGCTCCCTTACATGCATGAGTGTCTCTGGATTTGTTTCTCTAGTCAACCCGGACTAGCACACTCCCTCCTCTGGACATGGGGAGGCCCTGGCACGAACCTGATCGCCAGAGCCTGGTATGATCGTATTCCCCTGGCCCCAGGAAGGCACATTTGGTGTTGGGCAGGGAGAGGTGCCACCTCCCCAAACAAAACCCCCAAACTCACTGTCATTGTGTCAATGCCGACACCTAGCGGCCCACTGGCACAGGACAACTCTGGGTTTCTAAGACGAACTCATTGCAGGAGCCGGCAGCCCCATCTTTCTCCCATGGAGCAGCTGATGCCTTCAAATTGCTCACCTTACGGATCGCAGCCCAGTGCATAAACACTGTGCCGCCAGGTCTCCACCGCCACTTCCTGGGCAGACCCCTGTTCACTGTGGCACTGACCATGGCCAGTCCTCCCACTGTGCTCTCATGGACTGTGGGGTGACTGCCAGCACACAGTAGTTAATGTCTCGTAGAACAATCCCAGGGAACTTGCATGCTGGGCTGCCGCTGGGCAGTAACAGGAAGCTGGGAGGGGATCGCTGAGAATGACCACTGGAGCCGCTCTCCTCTGACGCTTTGTGGCTCATTGGGCTTCTGTGTTAGTCTGGGTGGACTAGAGTAACAAATCTAGGGACACGCATATGCGTGTAAGAGAGAGCTTTATATCCAAGAGTAATCATATATTAAGGAAACATCCCAGCCCAGTCCAGATCAAGTCCATAAGTCCGATATTGGCCCACATGTCCGATACCAGTCTATAAATCCCTCTTTAGACTCCCGCAGCATATGCAATGACACAGAATGCAGGAAGATCACAGGCCAGTGGTGGGTGGAAAGTCCTGTGGGTCCAGTGGTGGTGGAAGCATCTCAGCACTGGCATGGGTCTCCACACGGCTCCTCCAGTCCAGGGCTCTGGCTGCATTAGCGTAGCTCCATGTGGCCTGTCAACAGGAATGTCTAGCAGAGAGAGAGAATGTGTCCCACCTCCAGGGAGGAAGATAGGAGTTCCCAGAATCCCCCGGAGAAGGCCACACCCACACAGAGGCCTCATTGGCTACGACCTGATGGACATGTTAGACAGGAGATGTTGTAACTGCCACCGCCTCCTTCTCAATGGCTGGGCACTTCTAAGCTGCTGGCTCAGGGCACTGCTCTAAATGCCTTTATTTCACGATGGCAATGGGTGCTTCTGTCCTGGCGACAGGCTGTTTTGACTGTAGGCTGACCGCTAGGGAAAGGAGGCAAGGGGGGCTCTGTCGGTTGTGCTTTATGTTAAGCAAAGTCCAACTCTGTCCTGTGAGAGGTCTTCCCAAACATCAGATTCAGGTCAAACTGCACTTTGCCTTCGAAAACTTTCCCCGGCTACCCCAGCTCTCACTTTTTAACTTTCTAGCTCTAGCCTGTGCTGTTGACCATTTCAGGGCTGTTTTGCCTGGGATAAGGGACCTGTCTACCCTCTGGAGGCCGTTTCCCAGCATCCCTGGCCTCGGCCCATAGATGTCAGCAGGACCTCCCAGATCATGACAGTTAAAAGCATCTCTAGATGATGCTAACTGTCCAAAGGGGATTGTTGTAGATCGGAAACCAAACCCTTCCTTCCTTCATGTATTCATTTATCAGACAAACTCAGTGGCTTCCTTAAACTGTTTTTCCAACCTCGTATTGTAAATTGGGGGGAAGGTTTACAGAGCAGGGTTCCCAAGTGCCCCTGCTGGTGTCCACCCACCTGAGTCTCCCTGCACTCAAAGAGTGCTCCCTGGGCCCCAGGCCTGTCTTGACCTCTTCCAGTTTTCCTACGTTTGGCTTTGTGTGCTCTGGGTCCTGAAAATTACGTAGCCTGTTCCAAAGCGAGCCCACCATGTTCAAGGGCAAAGGAGCAAATGGCTGTGAGGGTAGGACACACAGCTAGATCCTGGCTCCGCCTTCGGGTCACATGGACACGTGCAAGTGGCCTCATCCCCTTCAGCCTCAGTTTCCCTTTCCTGCAATGGAGCTCAGACACCCACTTGGCCTGTGTGTCTTTGTCCTTCCCTCTGTCCATAGGGAACACGTTCAGCACCCTGGCTGGGCTGGTCTTTGACTGGACGATCGTGAAGGACGCCGAAACAGACGGATTCTCAGACTCACACAACTCCCTGCGGTAAGCAGTGGCCTTTTCTTTGCCTGATTACCTCAGAAAGGAAAGGGGACATCGCTTGACACCCCCATGGGCCCAGGAACTCTCATTGTTCACCACGAGGCCAGGAAGTTCCCAGCACATCCCTGTGCCTGGTTAGGGGGAGGGTCTCATCTCATACAATGCCCTGGTTGTCGTCTTTTGGAAAGAGGGCACTTGGCCCCACAGGGCTGTGCAAAGTAACTGATGGGTTTCCCTAAGGTGTAAGGGACGTGTGTGGTCCCCAAGGACCACATAAGTTACAGAGAAACACGTCATCTAAGGGGGGTACTGGAACAGCAGCAGGCCCAGATGGAGTGGGCTGACCTCCCGGGCCTGGGGAAGACAAATGCACTTGTATGAAATGGACGAATGATGTAGTGTGCGCGTGCACACACACACACACACAGGAGTCTTATTTGTTGTAAAATATGAATAACACGACATTGGCCGATTCACCATTCTCAGGTGTCCGCTGCACTAAAAGTAGTCCTGTCGGTTGTGCTGTGCAGCAGTGCACAGGGTCCATTGCCAAGCGTTCCCTCTCCACCACAGAACTCTCCCGTCTGGTATGGACCTTTGGCTCTTTCTTCAGCAATCCATGGCTAGTTTGTGTCATTTCATCACCAGTAATCAGAAGCCTTGGTGGCACTGTGGGCTCGGCATAACTGGACCGCCAACTGCAAGGTCACAGCTGCTCGCGAAGAGCGCAGCGTGCTTCTCAGCGAGGGATGAGTGAGGTTCCGAGGGGAAGGTTGGTTGATCCTTCTCACTCTTGTGATTGAGGGAGACACGAGCGAAACACCGGCTCTGGGACCTCATCTCTTCCTTCATGGTGTTCTAACTTTCTCGTGGCTGTGACGAGATAAGCATAGGCAAAGCGCAGCGGTTTTGTTAAGCGTCCGCTTCCTCAACGGTCGTGACGCCGCTGTGTCTGCCGCCATTGTCTTTCCAGTTGTGTCCCAACCCCACAAACAGAAACCCGGTGCCCCTTGAGCGTAGCTTCATGTCATGGAGGGTTGGGAGAGGGAGAGTTGCCAGCCAGCGCCTAGAAGCTCACCTCGGATGTGGTAGAGAGCGTGAGCTTGCTCACTGCCGATGAGCCAGTAAGCACGAGTACGCGTGTGCTTACCTTGCTTGCTGGGCCGCCCGACACCACTCAGCCACCTGCACTTCAGTTCCTGTTCTGTCACTGGAGGCCGTCATGGTACCCCCTTTGACGGCAGCTCTGCAGGTTCCAGAAGGATCCACATTGAGAACTGTGCTCTGGGCCGGGCACACACCGAGCCCGGAGACTTCCGCTCCTCAGCCTCTTCTGTGCAGGCAGGCCCGTCCCCGGCCTTGCTGGGTCTCCTGGTTGGTACACAAACGGAATGGTTATCGTAATCTGAGATGCGTAGGCCAGTTGGAACCAGATCATCCTAGCTTTTTATTAAGTCCAGCATGCAACACCTAGTAAAACAGGACAGGGAAATAAATCACGGCGCAGCCTAGTAGCCTGCGGATCTTGGGGAGCATGTGATTGTCATGGACCGAATTGCACGCCCCCACCGCAACCCCTGCCAGTTTATGTCAACTTGGTCGAGCTGTGATTCTCAGAGGTTGACAGTTACGTGATTGTCATTTGGCGATTATATAATGAGCAGTGGTGTGCCTATCCCCCATGACGTGATCGACCATCAGGTGGAAGGGTATTAGATGAGATGCAGCGCCCTTAACGAAGGTCACAGTCTGATCTGGTCCGAAGGGAGTGTCCATGGCTGTGGCCTGCATCACCTTTGACCTTACAAGGAAGAAGAACCAGGAACAGAGTGAGAGCTGGCACTTGGGGTCCTTGCACTGAGAACCTCCTAGAGCAGTGGTTCTCCACCTTCCTCATGCTGCGACCCTTTCACACAGTTCCGCATGTGGTGGGGACCCCCCCAACCATAAAGTTATTTTCATTGCTACTTCATAACTGTAATTTTGCTACTGGTATGAATTGTAACACAAATATCTGATATGCAGGATGTATTTTCTTTTTTTGTTGTTTTTTTAAAAA